CAAAAAATTTTCTTCTCTAAAATTGTCTCCTTTCACCTCCTTCCCTGCTCTCTAGCAATGTTCTGTTGTCTGCTTTCATTTCCACTTTCTGCCCCCATCCCCTCACCTCCTTTGCCCCCTCCTTTGTCCCCGATTAATAAACCATTTTTTAAAGCTCAAACGTGCACAAAACGCAGTCACACACACGCACTCAAAACATACAGACACACACATACATAAATCTTCATATATATACATACGTACATACACACTCGCACTCACACATAATATACATCACTCACGCATGCAGCTAGACCTTAATACTCGCAATTAGGGTAAAATTGCGTATGTGCATAATAAGGGTGGGCCGACTCTGAGAACTTCCGAACATTTTTGGGTTCGAGTTCGTTGAACCAAGGGTCAATGAATGTCGCTGCTGCCCATAAGAAGCGCTCTTCTGCACCGGCGAGTCTTGATAATATACTGGATCTCAGCTTAGCTGCCAGATCACCTTTTGTTTGTCGCATGATCTTTTCCAGATTGTCAACTAAAGGAATGATCTTTGAAGCAGTTGGATATTTCTCTGAGCTCATTTCCCTGGTTGTCAGTTCAAACGGTTCCAAGATGCTGATGGCTTCTTTGACTTTGTTGAGTTCCTCCTCTGTCAGGAATTTCTCTGGTTTGTCCTCCTCTAGGAGTGCAGCTTTAAGTTAACAAACTGGTAGAGATGGAGAAACCTCTGAAACATATAGAAGGTGCTGTTCCATCTTGTGTCCACTTCTTGAATCAGTCGCAATGGTGGCTGAGATCTGGCATACCTGTTCGTCTCAATCCTAAACCTGTCTAAGAAATCATCTGTAAATATCTTGAAGAAATCAAGCATTCTTTTCTGAAGAAGATTCACATTTAGGGCAATTTGATCACCTGGAGCAACTAAATCAATATCTTTTTGATCAAATCCTTGAAATTCTTCATCCGAATCACCGTCACTTTGAAGGAATATGTCAGGAACAGCAACGTTGGAGTCGCTCTCAGAATCATGATGTGGTTGGTGTAGTCTGTGGCTCTTCCACCTGGCGATCGGGCAACGGACAAAGTGAGGGATCTGTCGGGCGTTGGGATGTGCACCTCATTGATGTGGATTGCGCTGAGAGTGGTTGCATCCCAACATATAGTGGCAACTGGGCATGACAGGAAGACTTCTTCAGCTTGGAGGAAACTGAGGTCACAGAGCTCATAGGCCATCCTGGCCACTGTTGGCTTGTGGGGAACCAAGGAAGGGATGTGTTACCTAACGAACAGAGTCAATCAGAGTACCGGCATGGGCCACAGGGATCTGCGAGAGCAAAGACCTGTACACAGTACTACACAGCCTTGCGCATTCTAGTCTAGGTACATCTTTCTCCACTTCCTCACTCTCTTTCTCCTCCAACAAACTGATTAGATAATCATTACTTTGTTGTAATTCCAAAATTTCTCTCTTCAGCTCCCCAACTTCTGCCTGCGTTCTTTTTAGCTCCTCACCTTGCTCTCCTAAAGACTTCAAAAAGGAATTCTTCTGCAATTTTAGAGACTGAATTTCCTTACGGAGCTCTGGAACTGCCTCTTCTGCAGCTGCTTTCGACTTCAATTTTCTCTTCAACTGCTTCCGCTCCTTTCTCAATTCTTTTTCTATTAAACTCTTTCTGTCCAGATTCTATCTTAAGCGTTTACAATTTTCCAACTTAGCTTTAGTTGAAGAAAATGTTGTTTTTGTCTGTGCATTCTGAGCCCGGAGTTTAACAACAGCAGCTCGCCTCTTTGTGTAAGAAGCACAGTCTCCTCGTAATTGTCAAGATGGTGGTGGCTCCAAGGGTACGGGTCCAGCGACGACAGGGGTGCTGCTCTGGAGGGGTTTGGGGGCATAGTGGCGACAGCTGTGCCGGCGAGAATGGTGCTTGCTGAAGGGGACTGGATTTCAATAGCGACTGATGTGGAGGGTATGGGGCTCTCTCACAGAGCTCAAGAAAAGCAGATGGTAGTCTGCATCCAAACAGCCACCAGGTTGTTCTACTGAGTGTCGTCATTACTCAGAACTTTTTTTTCCACTGAGCAACATCAGCTGTCGTCTCAGATTGAGGCGAAATGTGCTTGTGTTTAATTATGAGGTAAAGTGGTTTGCAAAAGTGTTGACAGTGTCCTTCAGCACTTTTTTTTTTCAAAAATTTTTTTTAATTGGCATGTGCACTCACGGATGAAAGATAATACTGATCAAACTGTATGAAGCGACTACACCTAAGCTACAAGCGAGCACCTAGATCTAGATCTAAAGTTTTTCTGAGCACACCTCTATGATTGGCCCAAATATAGATGATGACGTATTTCTGCCATCTATTTATTGTCGTCTTCTTGGGTTTCCCCAAGACTCTTGGGATTCCCTCGCCATGACTCTCCAGTCACTGTTGACAAGATCTCGCTGTGTTTTATTTATATTTCAAAAATTAATTTGTGTTATCTTTTATACAATCTCAGCTATTTTCGAAACCATAAATTTACCTTCTCCTCACACACACACACACACACACACACACTCAGACACACACACACACACACTCAGACACACACACACGAGTCGGCATTGAAACCTAGATTGAGTGATGAAGCCCATCGTACGCTTTATGGCAAAGCGGGCCAGCCACGGTGGTGAGATCTAGATTCTAGTCAACTGGCGAGGGAAGCCCTGGAAAACGACAAAAAGAGATGGGGAAATTTTATACGTCAACTATATTTGAGCCAATCACAGAGGTGTGCTAGGTGCTTGCTGCAGCTTCATGCGTAGCAAACGAAGAAGTGCCCAGAGTTGGGGAATAGGCTTGAATGAAAGGTTTTGTTGAGACAAAGACAAGACAAAGACAGTGGTGTAAAAATTGGTTGGAATGAACTTTGGTGGACCCACCTTGTTTACCTGTATTAATGCGCACTAGCCATAACAACTATGGCCCCCCGGCAACAATAAAAAAAAACAACATAAATGCAAAACAATAACTTTTATTGGAGCGGACCATTGTACAGGGAGGGTCAAAAATAGTTCTGGCTGTTTTCTGTGTTGGGTCCACCAAAGCCGAAGTTCAATCTTACCCAAAAATTATCCTTCTATCTTAATTAGATTCTAGTTAAAAAGTTATGGTAAAAAAGGTGTCATGAGAAAGGGCTTTTTTTTTTTTTTTTTTTTTTTTTTTTTTTTTTTTACTATAGAACAAAAACTTGTGACCATTTCGTGAGATCAACTCCATAAAATCTGCTGTTATTCCATTAATACTAAGTGTATCGTCTATATTTTAAGAGAAGTAGGCTATCTCCTGCATAATGGTGGCCGACGTCCGAAATCAGAAAGCATCAATTATTATATTTTCATTTTTTTAAAAAATTTCTTGAGTATTTTATGGTGTATGTTGTTGTTGCTGTTTGTTGTTATTGTTACTGTTGAGTAAAATTGTGACTGATGCATTCAGCGGCGTCGGTAGCCTAGTGGTTAGGCTACCGGACTCGT